ACTTTTATCCTCCCGGATGATATTTTCTCCACCGTCCTCTGTTTAGAAAATATCCACCAATGGTAAAACCACGATATTGAATTGTCTATTTCTCTTCCATCCCTGCCTAGGGAGCATTTCAGATTTTGGTTGCTCTCTGGTATATGTGAATGCTATCGCCGACTATAGTTGGCATACCTACATACAGACCTTATTCATGGTCGGAGAGTTGTTGCGTGTACTAAACCGGGACACTACAGCTCGTGCATGTGCAGTTGTGTACCTCTCAACTACTGTCAGCGGCTGAATCCTCGGGTACTAAGAGTGGCTACGTTTTTATATATAAGGCCAGGTCAAGTTTTTAGAGCGAAAAGCATGCATCTAGGTTCATACGCCAATAGGTTTTCGAATTTCTGGTGCTCCGACGCGAAACGTACTATCGTGGATTGTGATGGTTAGTTTACTTTCTCTACTTTTGTGCAATTACTCGAGCGAGCAAAGGTGATGAGAGTTCAATTCAAGAAATACCGTTGAATTTTATAACAAAACGGTTACAAAACAATGGGGCAGGAGATTGAACTAGCAGCTCCGTTGTGCAGTGTCACTTTTCCACTCAAATCAAAGACCGACACTATAACAGTTTGTTTCAATTTCACTTTGAACAACTATTAAGCAAACACTTCCGTGCGCCGGTTTTGGTTGCTGTCCTTGGGCTGCTCATTTAGACGAAGCGGTAGAACAAAGGAAGAAGGTTAAAGTAGAGTCAAAGGGGAAATTGGGAATTTCGGGAGACTAATGTTGCCAAGAAATTGAGGAGATCCCCCGTAAATGCATGAACACCATTGTTTACGACACCCAGGCATATCATTTAGCGTCTCTAACCACCGATTACCCGAGGTCCCCATCCAGGGAGCCTAATGTGATTTATGTAACCGAGTCTCCTGGTTAGGGTTTCCATACTCGCCTGCTAGGTCTTAATTTGACCATCAATGACTTCATTAAACCCACTACCTGCCTCCGCGAACATCGCTCGACGTGGCAGCCCATTTGTTGCCGTACGCAACACATGCCCCAAACAGCGTAATCTATGGAGGTCGATCACTTGCTCCAGTGGGCGACCCCGGTTACCCAAAACTCAGCCTAACCTGAGCTTGTTCGGTTGCTCCACCGGATTCGTGCAATGCTGCGTAGACAGCGGTATTCAAACACCGTCAGTCTATCTTTATCCTGTTTTCTTAATGGCCAAGTTTCTGCACCGTATAACAGGACTGACCGAACTGTCGAGGCATACACTCGGGCCTTCACAAACAGCCGGATGTCGCGACGGTACCACAGATGTCTCAAGTTGGCAAATGCCAACCGAGCCTTCTGTATGCGAGCTGACACTTCATGCATGATGCGTCCACCGGGTGAGATGTAGCTGTCCAAATAACAAAACTTATCCACTTGCTCTATTACTTCCCCAGTTAGAGTAAGGCTGAGTGCTGGACCAACAGTCTTGTAGTAACATTTTACACTTTGAAGGTGCAAAACTCATATCGAACACGGTTATACTAGCACTCAAACTTACCTGGATCTTCACTTAGCAGCACAATGTCGTCTGCATACTCTAGATCAGACAGTTTGCCATCTGGGAGGAATTCGGTACCGCTATCCTCGTAGGAAGATAGAGCTGCTTCAAGAAGTAATTCTATGACGAAGTTGAATAGAAAAGGAGAGAGAGGGCAACCCTGACGAACACCGCTTTCTGTAGTGAACTCGGGCGAATAACGGCCGTAACTTTGGATTTGACTTCGGCTATTAGTATAGAGCGATTGTAATATTGAACTAAACTTCTCGGACCCACTCTTCAGGGAAAGACAGCACCAGAGTTTTGAGAGGTTGACTGCTTTCAGATCGAGGAAGACAGATTGTTGGTCTACAAAAAAAATAGCAGTGCTCCAAGGGTGGCGGAATGAAGATTTGGTCGACAACCTCGACCAGGTCTAAAACCAGCCTGGTTCTTACGCATGCACTCTTCACGTGTGACAGACAATCGGCGGAGTATAATGCCAGCGAGAAGTTTAGAGGTAATGTTGATAAAACTAATTCCTCTGTGGCTTTCACAAGAGGACCTGTCACCCTTGTAAATCGGTGCGATGACTGATTCACACTATTCAATTAGAACCTCTTCCGTCTCCCACACCGAGCCCAGTAGTTTTGTTAACTCCGAAACTAAGGCTGAATCTCCTTCCCTATAAACCGATGAGACAGCGCATCTGGGCTAGAGGCCTTATGCCGTTTCAGATATCTTATTTTCCGGGAAACCTCCATTTCAGACGGAGGACTGGCACCAACTGGGAGTATTTGCCCAGTCGAGGTGGAGGCTGATAGGTAAGATATCGATGGGGCTCAGTTGAACCTATCGATCAAGACGGCGTTGCTGATGGTGAATCGGTGTGGCATCGAATTCCCTAATTACTTCACTTACGCCTATTTTCCTAGGGACCGTATTCCTAATTAGATGGAACGGGTTACGACTCTTACCAATAGCCGCAGCTTTCTCCATCTCTTTACACTTTTCGACCCACCACTTCTCGGTTACCGGCACCGAAGGCAACACAACTGCGAGAGTTCAGAAAATAAATGGCAACAAGACCAGGAAAAGGGTAGATAAGGAGTAAGGAGTGGTCACTAACGATGCTGCTAGTAACTAACAGATAAGAGTAATAAAAATAATAGGAATGAGCGGTTTCATTGGGAACAACAATGTCTAGGGTTCGTGGTGGACGAGGACAGTAGACTGCCAAAAAAGAGGACGAAGGCGCAGAGAAAGCACGGGACCTAGGGGGATGCCAGTATTTGTATTGAAGGGGCGGGAGATGGTGCGGTCGAGTTGGGTGGTCATCCAGAAAAATGGATGTTCATATCACAATTTGCAGGGCAGAGCTGAACGTCCGTGGTTATGCTAGTAGATCTCCGTGCCATACACAATCAAAAGCCCTCAATATGTCCAATGGCACCATATAAGCTTCTCCGTGGCTGTCGCTCAAGTCTGGGAAACGGAAACCTGAAAACCACGAGTAAGTAGATGAGATCGGAAAAATAACCGACGACGTCCAAGTGTATTTTCCTGTTTCAGGTGATGGAGTTAGCTAGCAATGGTGCAATCCCTTCCTTTCGAAATCATTGATGTATATGTGGTAGAGAGAGTGACAGCGTTATAATGGTGTGTGTGTGTGGGTGGGTGGGGGGTTGGGTCCAAGAATGGAAAATTCCGTAGATGCTTTCCAAGGGGCTGAGAATACTCTGAAGTTCAGACTTGGACTGAACAGACAACGTAGAAAATAGAGGTCAGCTCAGGGCACACGTTTTGAGGATAATGGGAGATCAAGGCTGTTAAGTGACATCACAACTTGCAGAAGAAGTTCAAATGAAGTACCATTATAAAGCATAACAGTGGTTAGTCACTACAAGACAACCGTAGCGTTAGCATCAAATTTCAAGGGGAAACTAAAGGGATTAGATTAGACGGCGGTACGACGCCTAGAGAACGGATGAACGCCATCAATTGGTGAGCCTCCCCAACGCTGAACAAGTTTGTCCAAACAAGTGCATCACTAACCGGTAGGTGAGATATCCATAATTCATTAGTGATTCCCGCGTTGCATTTTCATAGGCGGCGTTGCACGTGTCTTGTACAGACTACTCCGACGTGCTATAATCCCCTTGGAGAATAACGGTTGAAAGGCAACCAGGCCATGATTTAACTAGCGAACATACAAGCTTTATTCACGGGATTTGATCGTATATAGTTCGAGTGAGACCTTGAAAGTGAGGTATTCAAAAGCCGCTACGATATTTTCCGGAAGCAATAGGGGATGCGACCAAAAGTCATTGGCAGTGAGGNGTTTGTGGCTGTTTCATCTTTCAAAGCACGTTAGCTTTCTTTTCAAGAACAGTACACAAAGAAAGATGATAACCAAAACTACACAAACCCACATCGTAGGGCACAAAACCGAAACCAAGATGGCGCTAAGTGAGCTTGATAAGCTTGGTATTTCCCGGAGGTTCGACTGCATTGTTTGGTCAAACTAGGCCCCAATCAGACAGTGATCGACCCGCATTCTAACTCGGCAGTTAGTGGTGATCACTATCAAACTCTTTTCTGGAATGAAGTAGCAAGCTAACGGCGACACTGGCCTACTTTTGGTGCATGTGGTCGGATCCAGAAGATAAAATCAAGCCCATGGTAAACAAAAACTTACCATCACCACTGTATCGACTCGGATCCGCGTAGGACGAGGTGGTATACACATATTCCGCCGAGGTGGCAGCATTGCTCTGGGTCTGGGCCTGTGTAGCAGTAGCCGAGGCTGTCGCATGTGGGTTGGGAAAATGGTGTTGACTCATGTCCACGTAATTTCCGGTGATGAGTCGACCGTGAACGGAGGGATCGTGTGGAACGGGATCGTTCGAACGTGAACCAGGTCCGTCCTGACATTATTTGTGTGAGAGCAGAGACAGAGGGGTGAGAAGTTACTCGTGAGCGTATTCACACGTGCTCCTGATCGACTTTATGGGCATGGATGCTAACAAGATAAACCCGTGAAGGTACCGAATTCAATGTTACAAGCAGTTAAAATGTACATGTCACGTATACACGGAAAGGCTTCAAAAATGCTGAAATTATTTTGTGAATGCGATAGACTACATCAAAATTTTATTGAATACACAACAATACATTTTTCAGGAAGAGCAAAGGGCCAATCAAACGGCTGCCATTCAACACAATGGGGAAAGTCAGGTAGTGGTAGGATTCGAACACACGTGACGTTACTACCGAACCGAGTATGATCCGATGAAATGGACAGCTGTCCCCAGTGGACTGCGGTTTTCACACGCCGACCCGTTGCTTTGTGGGTCAAGCTTTGGCTAGCCGAAGGTTCTGATTGTGAACTCCTCAAGAAAATTCCCCTACCTTGGAGCGGGCCACCTAGCAGTATCATACCCACAAACAAATCATAGAATATCTTCTATAAAGACTATTCTAATGTGATTTGCTTAGCACAATTTGGATTCAGATGTGTGTGAAATACAAATACTATACATGTGAGTAATGGAGGATTTAATTCAATTTCATAGAGGGAATTCGTCGTGTATAGACCAAATGAAGTGTGAACTGAAAAGCTAGGTAGCATTGTGAAGCTGTTTCGACCTCGTTGGGTCTCATCAGCAGTGCGAATCCATCAACCCAACTGGGGATCGAACCCGGGACCTCATAGGCAGAGACGGAAGCATGCAACCCAATCGACCACTTGGCAGCTGATCAGGCCGTTTTTTCATTCTCCATTTACACGATATAGCACAATTCATCTTTTACAGCTTGTTGTGGGCATCGCGCCTCGCTCATCTCAGAACTAGCCTCCTAGGGTTGTGACTCGGTTGGAAACTCTCACAACTTGACTACTTGTTGCACGTGTGTGTGTGTGAGTAGCATGTTTGCGTTCTACTTATGAGGTCCCGGGTTCGATCCCCAGTTGGGTTGATGGATTCGCACTGCTGATGAGACCCAACGAGGTCGAAACAACTTCACAGTGCTACCTAGTTTCTCAGTTCACGCTTCATTTGTTCTATATGCGACGAATTCCTTCTATGAAATACTATACATCCGTTAATTGCGCGACTAAACATAGGATTGAGAACCCCGTATTCTCGTCTGATGAGAAAAGGCATCATCGTTAAGTAAGTTTACCTATGGTCCAGACCCTGAATCTGGATAAGACATCCGCATGATCATTGGGGATCAAATCGGATTGTGCATCCAATACGGCTCTTGGCGAAAGCCAAAGAAGTGCATGATTGGCCGGTACATACTGGTGACAGCAATTCGGATTACTCGGATCTAAATTTCCTTCCAGTTGAACTTCATACTCTAACCCATGTGATTACTGTGCTTGCTGAACGAACCGAAAAGGTTACATGGTTCCGACTTGAGAAGAAGGCTGTAGAAGAGGGACTCACCTGACCGGTTGCTGGTGGTCGACTGCCGATTGTGATACTGGTCTGTGATGGGTGGGAGCTCATTGATGCAGCCGGGGCGGATATTTGAGATTGCTGCTGATGTATCGGTTGTGGTTGTGATTGTGTCTGTTGTTGTTGCTGTTGCGTGGCTTGCTGTCGATGCAAAGCTGCCAGATCATCAAGGGCAGACTTGACTGCGACAGCGAATGCCTCTGCCTCCTCGGGCAAGGTGAAATTGAGACCATAGACCCGTTGTTTGCTGTCACGCCATTGATGAAAAGTGGGTCGGGCTTGATGGTACTTCAAACCACGGACAATAGCACAATTGATTACCACCTGCGAGTGAGAACCGGGGGAGATCAGGGGGAATAAGCAGATAGATACAGTGACTGGATATCAGACGACAAAGCAGGGAAGGAAAATAAGAAACAACAAAGCTGATAAACCTAATCAGATTAACTTCAAACTTGCGTTTAATATCCTATCGGCCAGATCGATGGGACATGGCGTTAACCGGTGTAAGTCAATCGCCAAAAGGTCATGTTCCTATAGATATGAACGCGCAATGCGCGAATATTTATCACAATTTCGAACGCGATAACGCCAATGGAGAGAGTCAATCATGTGTATGTGAGCGAATGTTGCCCTCTGGGCACGGCCAGAAGACCAACTGCTTTGCCTTTTAAACGCTCCTGAACAGGGCATGTGATTGTGTCCTATGTTCAGCATCGGCACGGAAAAAATACCTACACCAATCGATTAGTGAAACCACCCCGAATTGGCTACGAAGACCAACATGTGACAGGTGATTTATTGCGTAAGGCAGAGTATTACATGCGCCGGAAAAACTGTCAAATACTCCAAATGACAAACTCGATGAAAAAATGATTACAGCAGGCAATGTTTAGTGAGAGCAAAAGAATCACACCGGCGACTGAGAGGATAGCTAAGTGGACAAAAAACGTAAAACACTGATTCATAAGCCGAGTCACAACCCTCGAAAATGGACGGAGACAACTAACCAAAATACTTAAAGTAGGCTCTATTGGCGTACACCGATTTGAGACACTTGGCGTCACCGCGACATACAATCGGCCGTTAACTGTTCTGTTTAAGTCTCAGCTGTCCGGCTGATACGGTTATTTGATGCAGAGAAAAGTCGCTACGAAAGGAAGATAAACGCAGTCCACTCCTGTTCCCACACCGTCGTTTACGTCGCATTGCGCGAGTCTAACAGGACCAAAGGACAAGCAATGCTCAGGCTAGCCGAAGATTACGAGGTAATCGTCATCATGAATAGACACCAATGCTTGACCAGGATAAATTATGGTTTACAACGTATACATTAAGTGTAGTTATCGTTTTGTATTTTTCTGGAGCACGCGAGTTCAACAAACAAGTCGTGCAGCATTCACTATACTGACCTCGATTAACGCACTGCGCTCTTCAGACCAAAACTCATCCTCCGCGGTGTCGGGATGGCAACAAGTGTAAGGGATGAGCGCTCGATTCTTGACTAGATTCCATCTATGAGCTGTGGTTCAGAGCGGAGCAACAGTAACAGAACGAAGCGTCAGTGATTGTGTCCGTACATGCACCAACTGAGTACAAAGTCATTTGTAAAAATGCCCTCCGTAGGTTGCCTCAAATTGTCAACTCAATGGAGGTTGTAGCAGCAGCTACCGGGACCTATACGCCAAAATGGAATCCCTGGACTAATCAGAAAGATTTGTTGGCGGCCCATATGCAAACGCAGACAACAAGGGGGACAATGAAGATTGCCTACTTCAACTTTGAATAGATCACGGATTGTTCCTATCGAGCACCAACATCTCCCACAAGAAATGATAACGCCTTATGCGGAAACTCTTCTCAGCGATAAACTTTAATCGATCATGTTAGCACTAAATATCGTAAGCGAGGACCCATTCAAGACTGGCACTCTCATTGGTCGACGCCGTTGAACACGACCATCCATAGAATTTTGTCCACGTCTGATAAACAACCGAAACGGATATTGACAGTACAATGTAACTGACAGTTGTAAATCTTCTCACACTTCACAATTTCGACTTAAGACTTCAATCTGCCAAACAACTATTTGAACAATCAACCTTGCCTTAGATGTTCATTCAGTGAACTCCGGTGGCAGTCGCTTTACAGGCTACCTGGTACATGTCGTATGCCTCTGTAAGTTGGATGGGTGANGAGCTTGCGCTGTACAAAAGCATAGGCGGCATCCATGCATGGGTTCGAAATCCACCGAGGCCACTGAACTCTTCACAATTTCAACATAAGACTTCAATCTGCCAAACAACCATTTGAACAGTTGCGAATTCACCTTCGAAGTGGAGCCCGATCATCACTTCAGTTCAACCACCCGCCAAAGGACTCAGAGCACACTGAAAACCAATTAAGAAAGCCATCCAAAAGAAAGATTCTGGGACACGATCTAAGCAAAAACGATGGATCGATGTAATCGAAGGGTCAGAGACACTGTAACGTAGCTGCGTGTTACAGGGATACTCATGAATTTAGTTAATTTTTATGCAATCTTAGTCTACCTGAATCATCTACCTTCCTTACTTTGATGCATTATAATTATTCCTCGTTCATTTGAACGGGAGATAACTCAAACGACGCATGGTTAATGGTTTTATAAATTGAACGTAAGCTGAAATACTGTGTCTTGCCATCTTTAGCCAACGACAATGACCTGCTCTAGGGTTCTAACTGGGAATACAGGAGGCATCAATCAAAGCCAATGCCGGAGCTAAATTCTTCACAGTCTTACCATAAATCATACAGTAGCCACCGAGTTGCTGCTCACGGCCTTGCTCAGCGAGTAAAACAAAGGCATGGGCAAACCATGTTCCAGTATTAAAAAGTGGTGCGGAGCGATTATCTTAGTCAGACAGGAGCTATCGGTACCCGAGGAACGACGACAAACGTCTCCAGAGCTCACTCATTGATCACACCAAACATGAGAAAGGCTTCGCATGCATCGGTGGTCATTACTCAGTTTATCAGACAGCAGCATCATAACCCATAACTGGCTGAATAAATCGTAAGGTGTTGAACAAGGACAGAGATTTACACCCGCAGTAGCGCAAAGTCGTGTTTAGTGAGTCCAAGGTATTTGTGGTGCCGAAGTCTGGCGCCTGCAACGAACAGATGACTGGTTTAATCCACAGGAAGGGGACGGATGAGTCACTCAATTGCTTTATGGTTTCATCGCAGCACCTCAGAGTTGATCTCAATGACCGGAAAGACAAGCACAAAGCTTGCCAACATTGGGCTTTGAATTAACTGGATTAAACCAACGTGAAAAATTTGTGAGGCGATCTATGATGTATGAAACGGCACAATGAATAAGTGCCGACGTTAGTATTCTCTTGTACTAGACCGGCTAATAAGACGGTGCATAAGTATCTACTGATCGGAGTCCAACCCAGTACTCGAAATGTACAGTTCATGCAAGTGTGGAAACACCATATATCGATATTGAGTGTTTAGAATCAAGATCAGGGGAGGTTGTTGCCCTATCTGATCGAGCGAATGCACATTGAGCTCAGACCAGTGGAAAGCAAACCTTGATGGAAACGTACAACTGATTGTCCTCCTCAGAACTGGGTCAGGTGTCCTCCACGGCACTTTTTTCTCTCCTCTAATTGCCTTACTCCGTATGAGGAGAAATTCTCTATTCTCACCCCTCCCCTCTTAGTTGGGACTGATAAATATGCTGGAGATATTTGGTACCGGATACTCTACATTTGCAATGACAGCAGATAGCAAGAGCTTCAGTTCATTCATTATGTAGACTACATTATATGAAAAATATACCTAGTATTTGCTTGTTACTACGACGCCCAAATACGTGCTGCCCAAAGAATGAGGAATTCAAAGTCGCAATACAAATATATGCTTGACAGATAGAGGAACATAGTTGTGAAGAAAACGAACGAGCAAATAGTGCATGCGTGAGCAACGGCAAGATGGCCGAAAATCGCGTACTTACCTCACGGTCCTGTAGACGCCAGCCAACGATGCGATAGGTATTTGCAGTCGGATTGTGGTACAGCTGGACCTTGGAAACTCCATGACCAGAACCGCTGGGTATCCATGTGCTGGAGTCTGAATCATAGAGCATCACATTGGCCTTTGCGGTGGCCACTGGGTTCTCTCTGTGATAGGTGTACGATAAACACATGTGGAACCAAGTGAAAATGATGGTGACTAGCACGTTTTGAAACTATTGACCAAGTTGTTCCCATCATCTGGTCTTGCTTACAAATAAGGAAAATTACAGTCTGACGAAGATGACAAAAAATAACAGCCCGTGACAAAGATTCACATCAAGTGTGTCGCGATGATGCGCAAACCGAGCATAAAAGTAGCGGATAAATACTTCAAGCAACCCGGCGAAAATAATTTTGGCAGATATGAAAACGATGAGAAATATGTGATGAAAAGTAAGATACAATCCTAAATATTCTATAAGGCGTCAATTCGCTTCGAAGTACGTAAAATTTTTCGCCAATGGACGAGATCATATGCCTCGAGGAACTTTAATCCGATAGTCTGTACTTCATTGTGTTTTATTCTTAAATAAATAGCTTCAGATTTAAGAAAAACTGACTTTTAGTCCTTATGATTTAACAGTAGGACTGGACATTCAAAGGAATAGAATAAATCGAGCATCATTCTCTCTACTATCGTCCGGATGCTTAAGACATTGGTGAAAGAATCATTTCCTCCCTTCACCAAATCAAACCACATTGACCGATTCGCGTGAATGCTCAGCCATCTACACAAGCAGGATATCGGGGCAGTTACGACACCGAAGGGCCGAACATATGCCGGTGTGGCCTTGGAAAGCGATGGATGACCAGTTTGAAACCGTTATGTCATCGTCTGGGCAGCAAAGACTCAGATTCTCAATTACGTGACACTTATTTCAACATAAACATTGATTCAATCCAGACAACGCATTTCAGATCACGTACATCATAATGCAAAATTGCTGAAATTTGCCGAGGCTCTAGCCATTCACAATCATAAACCCGATCTATGCACACAACATGAATGGTTAGTCACACTATCAATGCCTTGGTGACTGGTCCTCTGATTTTTTGTACTGTGTAGCGTTGTTTTTACCAGTCTTGTCTTTGTCTTGCGGTTGTCATCTTAATGCCCGTAAATTGTATTATGTATATGTACAGATGTGGCGAAACGAGCATACAAACCCACATTTTTCGTTTCTCTATTCAAATTTGCAAAGGAAAAACGGTGTTTCTAGAAGATAGTATGGATTACAGAAAAGAGTTAACTTCAACGAGAATGGAACGGGCAATGACAACTCTTATTCTGATTTACGTTTACTTTCAGTTTTTTACAACCATTAACCATGCGTTTTTATGCACCGTTTTTGGTTGCTGTATTTTGGCTGCCCATTTGGGTAGAAGAGCGGAATGAAGATTGGAATGTTGAGAGGAAATTCAAGGGGAAGATAGAGGATTCATACGGACTGCGGTTGTAAGAATATTGAATAGATGCGTGAGAGCCAGTTTGTGATATCCAGAAATATCACACAACTTCTCCAACCACCGGTTTTAATTTATACAACCACTAATCATGCACCTTTGCGCGCCGTTTTTGGTTGCTATCCTTGGGCTGCTCATTTAGATGAACAGTAGGAGAAAGACAAGAGGATTGAAAGTACATTCGAAGAGAAAATGGGGAATTTCAGTGGAATAATGTTGGAAAGAAATTGAGAAGATGCACGAACATCATTGTTTACGACACTCAGCCATATCAATCAGTGTCTCTAACCACCGGTTACGATCAAACCGAGGTCTCCATCCAAGGAGCGTAACGGGGTTTGTGACCGAGTCTCTTGGTTAGGGTTTTCATACCCCCTTGCCAGGTCTTAATTTGACCACCCTTGGTGGCCACTGCTACAACCAAGGTGTGTGGTTCGTACGCCTCTTAGTTTTTTTTAATCATGGTTTTTAGTTGACCCCTCTAGGTAAACTGCCAATAGTTCACCAACCCGGTCACAGCCCTTGATATTGGCTTTTTGTCCTCTCACTTTGGTGGGAAAACACCTCCGCCATGGGAAGGCAGTGAGTAGGGCTTCCTCATCAGGGGCTATTCGAGACGCTTGATCTCATAGGAGCATTTCGTGAGGTGCGAGGAAATGGTGACTAGTAACAACCCGAGACACTCAGCTCGACTATACTTAATGGATTAGTTGTCCAACACTCTATTCCAAACTTTAGGGAGATATAGGCATAGTAAAGTGGCACTGGAATGACCATAGCACGGGCTGCAACCGGCGCGATTGACTGATATTTCAATTATAACAAGAAGAGAAGTCGAGATGATTGTATTAGCGTCATGGCAAGTTGATGTTTTGAGACAAATGTTTGTGTATCACAATTGATAGGCATTTAGTAATTCGCTATTTTCAAAATATGATTACGTAACGTCAATTCGAATAAATCCGTCAGGTTAATCGAAGGACCCGTTGCCATCAAATGCTTCGCAATTGAAAAGGTTGCGCTTTTGATTTCGATTGTATCATCGAATGAACAATCCATTCTGACGTGCGCTGACACTCATTTCGCCAAACAACGATCAGTTCTGACATTTTTTCGATCCACCTGCATACACTGAAACAACTAATCTGAAACCTGAAACCTATCATGGTGCTAAGCTAGTCTTGTCCCCATACACTCAGAAATCGTCAGATTATAAAAGCTTCAATTTAAGACTTCCTTTCTTACCTACTGCAGATACTACTGTTGTAATTCCAGAAGACCGGTGCTGCTTCGAGGAGAATTGTTTAATACGAACCAGAGCTAGGGTATGGATGGATAATTTGGCATACATATAAAATGATATCTTATCTTGAACATGTTAACGCAATTCCCGGCAGCACACAGGATAATGAATGAAACAAGCTGTAGTTCTCATTTTGAACCCTAAGAGGTCATGTTCATTGTTGATTGTTAAAAGAAACCATCAACCGCATTATTTTGTATACTAATCACAACTATGAGTAACGAAAAATTGCGCATCGACTGTTAGCTCGCAACGACGTTGCAAAACCAAGATTTTAACTTGGGACTTGAAAAATTCCCGTCTTATGGCTTCAGAGATACTGACGCACCGGCACAGTGTTTTGAATTCGCGAGCGAAGGGGGTCATACCAAATGTAATTTTCGATTTTGCAATATTTTTCATAATTCGATTAAGCTTTGGTTCCTGTAATTAATTAAAACCATCAAACAACTCACTGATTTAAGACAGAAATGTAAACAAATGCATGTGGACTGGTTTGATGCCTTTGGGTGATAAGTAGAAAGCACCAGGACAAAATTGTGTATGACAGGGGATGCGTTCAGGTGCAGTTTTTTTAACCTGTCACTGATACGCGATGTAAGTGGCAGATTGAGAGTGTATGCAGAATAAATGAAGTTCAAAATACGCTGATCGATTTAGATGAATCAACAGATATATGCAAAGGTTTAGTATACTTTTTTCAAATAAGTTAGGATATCTGTATAAAATACGCTATGTGAAAACACAAATAAGATCAGCGCTGGCGGTTCAACTAATTACCATCTTCGTACTGCAAAATATAGTGAAGCGAACTTCAATGTTTGCTGTCAAGATCATAACACATATACACGAATACCACAAATACGAATGCCTGAGATGCACAGGGAATGGACCTGCTTTGAGGAAAGAAAGGTGAACCTATATGGTTCACACAAGGCACACAGATAAACTGTATATGCACCACTTTTCAAGCATTTGACCTAACAAGAAGTGACAAGAAAGCCACTACTGATGGCTCATTGTTCATAAGGGTTTCCAACTAACCGACGGAGTAGTTTAGACCCAACCTGGAAGACGGGAGATACCTAATCCATCAAAACGCTCTGTACACTTTGTAATTCCTCGTTTCCAAGTCACCTGTTGAACTCCATGTAATTTTCTCCGGCAGTTTTCATGACCAAATTTTTACATTGCGTTCTCCAGTTACTCCGGTCACGTGGTCTACCAACAACCGCAGTCCCTTGACCAAAAAGAGCCTTCGATCCAGTTGACCGTGAAGCCCTAATCGG